TTCGTTGAAACGATTCTAGTCTAAAATATAGTGGATCTCGAATATCGTTTTATAATTACCAATTTTATTTCTCGACGAAGAAGAAAATACGTTCCAAAGTATTCTTGCCTGTAAAATACTGGGTTTAGTACGACGTTTTCTCCTTTTCAGTTTTATTTTTGGAAGAAAATACCGAAGAATTCATCTAAGCAATTTAAATCAATAAAATGATAGTTTTAAAATATCATTGTTCTAACTTTAATATTTTCTTTTTAAAAAAATATCAGGCTTTTCAGGTATTAAATTATTTTAAAGCAACTGCTTATGCATGATTCAAAAACAAATCTTGACACATTTTATTCGCGATAACTTAAATTCTTTATAAACTTATTGCAATTACTTTATTAAAATACATTGAAAAACTGTAAATCATTAAAAATTGAAAACGTTTTGATATTAATAAATACAATTTGGAATATGCATTAGGTGTTAGATTAATACTTAAGCCAACAAAGTTCCAATAATTTACATATTATTCTCATATCGTCAGCAAAAGATTTCAGAAAATAACCTCCTTTGGTCATAAATGTTAAATGTTTTAATTACCTGTTACTCTGAAAAAGCAATAAATACTTTTCAAAATGTTAAGCAGCATCAAACATACCACTTAAATCAATAGCTTTATATCCCATTTCTTTCTCTTTTTATCTGAAAATCAAATGGGTGAAACGGAATCTATTACTACTGGTAAATTACGATTCAACTTTAGCCTCGCTAGAAATATGTTTCAAACATTAACTTTAAGTGGGGGAAACGCACCTAGGGGCAATAGCTGATTCTTCAAAATATGCCATCCAAATGGTTTCATTATGCGAGAATTGAAAACCAGAAGCCATAGACCAGAATCCTTAATTTGATTTCGCCTTTTTGCTAAAGAATATCTTTGCCATTTCTAAGAACTTGACAAATATCTGGGGAGATAGTTGTTGGAACTCGAAAATGTTAATGAATTCTTCCAGAGGAAATTCTCGGAAAGTCAATTTGCGTCATATACCAAAGAGTTTTGAATAAAAAGACATGCGTAAAATGATGTTTTGTGAGATATCAAGTTTGGAAAGATTTGATTCTAAACAACAACTTCTAAAAACTAGGTTTGGTTAGTTTTATTATTCTTTTACTTAATTAATGCGCCGAAAAACCTATCAAAACAATTTTGCAGAAACTTAATATTTGGTGAAAAATGTGAACATTAGAAAAAATTATGAAAGTTTCAGAAACACCTTGAGTGCAGAGCAACTGGCTAAAACTACTTTAAAAATTCGCGAACGATAAAATAGGAAAGGAGTTTTTATTATTTTTAGTACTTTCATTGTGAGAAATTTTGAACTAAGAAAAAAATATGGCCAAAACTATCAAAATATGATAATATTTACAGTGTTTCTGGATCTATGAGAACATCAAAAAGTTAGGCAACTTTTACCGAAGCGTTTTGGTAATGATTTTGGTAAAATTAACGACAAAATATGGTTTTGTAATGCGTGATTAAATTTGGTAAATGTGGGAACATTTGGTAGTTTTATCACGATATGTCATAAAAATTGTTCATTCAGTAAAAGTTATTTTTCAGTTTTGTATTTTTTTACTTAATGTGGGGTAATAAGAACTGTAACATTGAAAATTGGAATTTTTGGTAAACGGTAACCATATAAACAGAAAAAATAATGAATGAATAATAAAATTAATGCATATTTTGTTTTTAAATATCAGAATTATGTTGTTTTTTTTTATTAGAAATGTCATTACACTACAGTACGTTAGTTTTACCAGAATATATTTTCTGCGTGTGAAGTGAGTAAACACCATAATACCGTTCTACTTTGTTGTAAATATTAGTAAATAAATACGTTAGTAAATTTAACATTAGTAAATAACATTACATTAGTAACATTAGTAAATAAACGTTATGTTTAAATATTCACCCAAACAAACATAAACATTTACGGATAAACTTTTACGTAAAACTAGCCAAACATTTTAAGAAATGCAAAATTATTATTTTAGCCTTCATACTTATTTAAAAACTTTATAATGGAGAAGCAAATAAACAGTATTATTATTATATGTCATATCCTACACTTTAAAACATTCTGTATCAATTTATGGTGAAAAGTATTACTGCACTTTGGGTGCATTATCCGTAAAATCCCTTTTTTCCGTAATTTTTACAGTAATACTTATTTAATTACAATGATTTAGTGATTTTATAGTAAATACCAACGTGAAAAATACGGTACATCAGATTCTTTGTTCTGTAAAATTTTACAGTAAAGATGGATTTTACGGTGCACATACTGGTACTTCGGGTGCCGAAACTTTTTACCATTATTTGCCGTTATTCGGAATTTTTTACAGTATACTTATTTGTAAACTACAAATTTAATTTAAAAAAAAAAAACTTAATCGAAACTTAAAGATGTTGTGATATTAAATATCTCTGTGAAAAAATAAAAATTTTAACTAATTGTCAAACTTTTAAATAGTTCATTTGAATTTTTTACAGTAGATTTATGTGTAAACTACAAATTTGATTTTCAAAAAAGAGAACTTAATCAAAACTTAAACATTTTATGATATTGAATATCTTTGGGTAAAAATAAAAATTTTAAGCTAATTGTCAAACTTCTAAATATTTCAAGAAGAGGGGACAATGAAGCTTTTTTTTTCTCTTTGCTTACAGGTCGGTGCCGATGCGGCGGCTATGCCCACCCACAATCTGCCCCCTAATCGAAAGGGAAGTTCTGGAGCCTCCCCCTCCTTTTATATGAGCATTAAAAAAAACGAGAGAGGCACGTACCTTTTGTGATTGCCGACCACAAAAGGGGGGCAACGGATGTGACAACTATCTCGTACGACAAGGACAGGAGCTTGAAAAGGTATATATACTTTAAAAAAATGCCAGTTATGAAACGATGCGCATTTGCCTGTCTCTTACGTATTATTTCTTTTTACATGGTTTATCCTGTTCTGTTTTTTTCTTCTATTCAATGCAAATCATGAAGGGTTATCTAAGAGTTCAGTTAAACGGTAAAAGGAGGCTTTTTCTTCAAGAAGGAATTTTTCTTCCTTACAATAGGCGTTCTTTACTTTTTTGTTCAGTACTTTTAGGAGAATGGACATTAAAGATCATCATTTAGACAACGATTTTTTTTTATATTTATTATTTATTTATCCTAATACGGCTTAGAATGGGAAAGGAAGTGAAGTTTTTTAATGAGTTTGGCAGTGTGAAGATTTTCATCTTGTTAGGTGTGAAAGTTCNGTTCTTTACTTTTTTGTTCAGTACTTTTAGGAGAATGGACATTAAAGATCATCATTTAGACAACGATTTTTATTTTTATATTTATTATTTATTTATCCTAATACGGCTTAGAATGGGAAAGGAAGTGAAGTTTTTTAATGAGTTTGGCAGTGTGAAGATTTTCATCTTGTTAGGTGTGAAAGTTCTTTTTTTAGAATATTCCAAGTCTTGCACTAGACACTAAACGGTTTACAACCGCAAGAAATAGGTTTAATTTTTTAATTTATAATCTTTTTTAAGTGAATCGCATTATTTTAGCAATCTAATGGCCATCCAAAATTATAAAAATATAAAACGAATGAATAGTATTGTTCTCCCTTTTATAATATTTTTGTATTAGATGTTTCACTTTACAAAAATTCTTCTATCATAATTTAGCTGAACTATTTTAATAGCGCGGAATAAGACCCTAATATATCTTTGTGAAGAAATGGGGGATTATCTACAGTGGGAGTTTAAACTACACCCAGGTTTAAATAAAGAAATACCAATTTGCCTGGAAACTCTTTTTGAATTAATTTTTGAATTAATTAAAAATCTTGATAATATATTTGATTTATTTTTCGGCTATTTTTTAGAATACACTAATTTTTTAACGAGTAGAGAAATTGTATAATAATAGCTCTTCATATCATTTTCCTCTGTAGCTAGTAGATAAACGATTTTCAGAAAATAAACCTGGTCGTACACTAAACAAATTATTTGCAAATTTTGAATAACTGAGACATTGTGATTAACTGCGTTCTACGTGAGATAATGTGGCTAAATTCAAAATTTCTATCTGTGGCCCGATAATTTTTTTTCTTTCAAATAACTCTTCAAAAAAAATAATAGATTAACGATAATCTTGAGAAATTAAACTTAGTTAAGGCTGTTTTTTTTCTTAGGCTCCGACGATGCTTTGATTGATGATGCTTTTTTGCTATTTTTATAACTTCTGTGACTTTGCAACTACTACTAATAACTGTTTGGTCAAATTTAGCCTATCTAAAGCCAGCGTTGCCTTCGCTGATATTGAAAATGGCGCAGAGCGTCAGTCTGGGGGAAAACCACAGTTTTGTGAAAATGAAAAGCGTTTGTGGTCTAATTTCTTCATATTTAAGAACTTACTCCAATACTTCACTACCTGGGTTCATAAAAATTTGCGAAAACTGTGAATAACGCAGTGATTTTGATAATTTTCGTCTAGGCTGAAAAATGTCGTCAAATTGACGATTTTTAAAAAGTTTTAATAAGTTTCAAAATATTTAAGCTATTTGTCCATTCTAAAGCCCAGACAACTCCTCACAGCAAGATTCTATACATAGCTTAAAATCATCACATTGCTTCAAGTATAAAAGCACTTAAACTATGACTTTCCTTGGATTCACAGCTTCGAAAAACAGTGTTAAATGATGTGTGCATTTTAGTTCATCTATCTTAGATTTTTATGACCAACTCCATAGGTAATTTTTTGCCCACATTTTTCTATTTCCCTCAAGGAGAAAAATTACATCATTTGTGTATTTATCTTCTTAAAGTTAAAAAATAATCTATCTTGGATTTAAACCAAACTTCAGAGCTAGTTCCATTTCCTCGCAACTATGAGGCGATAATTTTATTTTTGAATTGAATTTGAAATTTCGTAACTAATATATAAATTAATTTAAAATTGAATAAATACCTTTGGAATATTATTGTCATTAATATCCCATTCAGGAGATACAGTTCCCGACGATTTGCACATGCTCATGTCCTATGAAGAGATCCTCTTATAAATTCACCTGGAATCAAGAAAGTGAAATGCTTGAAAAAATACATACAATTATAGATTCTATATTTTAATTTTACAAATAGAATCAGAAAGTAGAAGTATATGATAGTTGTTTATTTTAAAGTTCTGTTTCAATGGTGACTGAGGATCCTGCAGGCCATTTTGATGATCGATTTCTGAAATTTAAAAAAAATTGCAAAATCATCCGTGGTTCGAATCTTGTTTCGGACATGGGTGAAATTCTTTTCTCCGGCCTATCTATCCTTGTTGTGTTGTACCACCGATATGGTGCCCATGTTAAAGTGGTTATTAGAAAAGTAGATTAATCAATGCGTGTTTTTATTTATTTATTTTTTTTTTGAAAAAATAAAATGACGAAATATTTATTTTAATTCTGAAGAAATTCATTTTCTAGAAAAAGAGACGATAGTTATTTCGTCACTTTGACGAAATTTTTGCTTGGAGCATTGCGTCATAACGATAAAAGTTTCATGATATTTGAGTGATTATTTTAAATTGCATGATCTACCAATAAAAACATTATACTTTTTCAAATTTAAAAAAAAAAAAAATTTTGACACAAAAAGATGGGTAACTTAACATAATATTTTCTGCTTATCCGCAAAACTCTTTAAACCATACTTTTAGGGGGGGAAGCTTCCCTAACACCCAATTCCAAAGCCATTTGGTAGTTTACTATACATTTTCAGGAAAAAAAAGATGGTTCAACATTGAACCATAATACGATACAAACATAATAAGGTATTAAATTGAATCACGGTGTTTCCCCACAAGATGAAATATCAGTTCAAAAAAATTTAATTTCTGGGTAGTTTGGTTCATTTTGCTACCCTATTTATAGTTTTTTTTTTTAATTTTATTTTATCACATTGGTCTGATGCTAAAACTTATAGATCAAATCTGAAGCCCTATATTCATAAACCCAAGTTTATTTGCGATTCAACGCTGTGATTAAAACTGCAAATCTATAAATCTTTTTCAAAATTCGCAAACGTAATACATTTAAAAATTATACATTTAAACATAATTTTAACTTCAAGCGATGAAACTTGAAATAAAAATGAATTCTTGAACAAATTTTGCAATTATAAGATGTCTGAAAATCATACATCTAAAAACAATTTTAATTTCAAGCGATGATATTTAAAATAAAATTAAAAATCCTTAAACAGTTAAGGTTTACTTTTATCCATTTGATGTGTTCTTTCAACTCAGCTTCATAATTCTGATAAGGAACAAGTTAAGAAATATTTTAAGAAGGATACTCAATTTTTTTCTCCAATTTGCTTTTTTAAATCTGAGATGAAAAATATTCTGCAAATTCTGTGAAACTCTGTTGTTCACTACCAGATACAAAGGGAAAATTTCTTTTCCATCGTGCATATCATTCTTATTATCATACTTAAAATATTTTCAACTGAACAGAGGATCTTGGTTCCCTTATTGTTTGTTTACAAGAGTAATATAGTTTGTTTGCCCTGATTTTCAGAACGTGTGTTAGCATTAGCTTGGTAGATTGCAGTTAGTTTGGTAAACTCTGTACCGCGGTACTAATTTTTACTTGCTTATCCTAACTGACAATTTAATTTCAGAAAGAATGATTAGTTTAAAAAACCTTTATATTTCTAGTGAAATTTTGTACCAAGTGCGTTTTTAAAAACATTTTGATGCTGGATATGCATATTCTTTGTTCATTCTTTAAATACAATTTTAGAATGAAAAAATGAAAAGAAAAAGCATCGAAGAATAAATAATTTTCTAAACAAATAAACTAAACTACACAATGTTTTATCTAAGCTGTTAGGGATAGTTTTTAACATGCAACTTTCATATAAAAAAGTACTAATCATAAAATTTATTCATACTTACTTTCAATTTTCTATCCCAATTTTTTCCATTCGAAAATATTACAGTTATCATGGGAAAATTTATTTCCGTCATGCTAGTTTTATCATTCTCTCTGAAATAAAAAACGACATTAGCAAGAATTTTAATTTATTTTACATAATTACAACAATTTATTTTACAACATTATTATATTATTTACAACATTAGCAATAATATTAACTATTACAATTTTACGAATAACTTCATTCAGGTTTATTAAGTATTTTTTCATTCTTATGAAAGGAAGATCAAAACTAAATTATTTAATCTTAAATTAGATGTTTTTTCGAATAATTAGACGTAGTCCTGATCATAAAGAAACCGTTTTATTACCTTTCAGCTTTCAAACTTAGCAAATCATGTTCTCTTTTTTCATTGAGTTATAGAGAAGCGGTGTTTGGTTCGAGAAACGTAACTTGCTCATTCACTAAAGTGCTAAAGAGTTAGATTACTAATTGTGGATTATCTTGCAAATATTTTCGAAGTCATGATCGAATAAAATGCTGTTTTCTTTTTCAAATAATTTTTTAATGTTAATAATTTTGTTGGAATATAATCTTAGCAATAATCCAGATTTTAATAATCAGTCTGTTAGTTTATTTATTCATTTGGAAAAAAAATAACATAACATGGAAGGTCAAAAAAGGCCGGAAAAAAAGTTGCTCACAGAGGCTATAGGCTGATTTTTTTTCAAGTAGATAAATCTAGAGCAGTCTAATTCCTTACTATTTATATAATTTTATCTTAACATAATTATTTTCTTACCTGAAGTTTTTGTAAACTTAATTTATATATGATTTAAAATAAATTTATTTCAACAAAACTTTTTAAGTTTCTCATATTTTTACTCAATTAAGCAGGTTTACTTAAAGTGGCAAATAAGGGAGAGGGGAGCTAGTGTTTATATTTTTTTACAAATTTATCAAAAAAACATATTTAACATAATTTTTAACTCGTGAAGTATTTTTAACAATAACTTGAACACTTATTATCTGCAAGAAAGCTTACATTATGATCAATTTCTATAATTCAAATAACATCATATTTTATTTAAAAATACTAATTTGTGGAGCATTTCAAATTAGTACTCACTTTACTAAGAAAGATACTTGGACCACAACTCATTACCTTTGAAGACCATTATTCAATTTGATTTATTTTAAAAAATATTTCGAAATTTCTTTTTTATTTCAGCAAAAATTTTTACATATAAACTTTAAATATTTACTGAAATTCAGTCTTGGCAGTTCGATCAGTTTCTGATAATGAAAGTTTCGTAACTATTTCTTCTCTTGAGATTTGGTATTTATTTATTTTTTTTTTTTGAAGCAGGAAGATTCATGATTAGAAAAATTGTATGCACATTTTTTTTAATAATTAAACATTTTTATCTAGTTGAATATTATAACCTCCAAATTTATAAATAACTTCCTTTTCTACTAATATAATGCACAACAATGTTTTGGTAAAAAACATGACTCCTTAACTTTCATTGAGTCAGCTTGTCAGGAAGATTTCATTTTTATTTTTTCTTTCACATTCCTTAAAAACAAGACACGTGGCTTAACTACTTTTTTTTATTGAGATACGTTTTATGTAACTACTTTCTGCTGCGCTGACAAACATAGGGCCAATTTTAAGAACATAGAGTCAATTTTAATATCCAGTTTTAACTTAATGTTGAAATGGTCTGAACGCGAGGGATTTCCCTCAATATTTCTCTCAGTGGAACAATGTTAAACAACTCTCAAATTATAAGACCGGACCGTTTGGCTGACATACTTTTTTAGTTTAATTTGTTGCGAAAAAAATAAATACTTGTTAAAAACTTTGGTTTTACCTTTAATTCCTCTATATTGAATTATATTCTTTTAAAAACTTGATAAAATATCTTTAAAACTTTTAAAATGTCGATTAATATAAAGGTTACGTGCTAATTTGTTTACTTGTAAATATAACCACTATTTGTAAAAGTATGACATTCTACAAAATCATTCCAATCTAGAAAATCAATAAGATCTAATATGTTACATTTGTAATCAATTCATATTTTTCCCATTTGAAATTGAATGGGGTCAGTGTGGTCGTGCCCACACTAACCTCACGATTCAAAAGATTCATTATTCAATCGATTCAAAATTACAAGCATTATTCTTAATGCTGGAATATTAAATCTTTACAAAACAAAAATTAACATCAAAACAAATATTTAAAAAAAACAGTATGATTTGTAACACATTATAACCTTTTGTTAATATTTACAAATATAAGTATGTTAATAAAACAAATATAAGTATGTTAATAAAAGAATAAAGAAACAATCTGTAAGTTTCGTTTTCCCCTTGAAACGCTTTTACAAATTCACTATATTATACAACTGCTCATGGAGGTGTACCTCAGTGTTGCCAACATGCGGTATCTAAATCAAAGTAATTTTGTCCTATAAATAAAAAAGGTATTCAATATGTTCACTCTAGCTTCATGTCCTCACTAGACCCTTTATCCCTATCGATTGAATAACTAATATCGATACTATACTCTATGTAGTGATTATTAATAAAATTTTTAATTAGGCTTCAAACGTTTACGATTCTTTGATAATTTTATTCAATTTCTTTCATTCATTGATTAAGTTGAATTTGTAAATTAATATCAAATGGGAACAATTCATTGAATATAAATACTTTAAAACTATTATATCTTCTTTTGATGGCATAGATTAAGAAGCTAATTTTCGAGTCACTTCAAATAATATAGGCAAGGAAAATATTTTGTTCACAAACTATGTCCGTAAAAAAAAAATAATAATAACTGAAAATCGTTCATGTAATGCAAGAAAACAATAGTAATAACTTTGCATTTTTCTTTTCTTTCCTCGGAATATAGCTTTTAAATAAGTTTTTCTAAGAAAAGGAACATCTTTTTGGGCAATCGAGATTATTCAAATGCAATTTAGATTATTAAACAAATTTTAAAAAAACGTAGGACATTAAGAGAATTAATCAAATTTCGTTCCTGTAAATAATCATTGTCTGAACCAGTAACAAGATTATTTTTCAAATGATGAACATTTCTTAGCAAGTGTATTGAAAATGTTTCACAAAATTTGTTTATTTTATTAACTAAAAAAATTTACAAATAGTGAAAGTTGTTAAAAAGCCAGAAGGCTTTCGAAGCTGAAACATTTTGCTTATAATTTGAATAATAGATAAAGTTTATTCCAAAATTTTGATTATTGAAACATTTTGATAAACATTTGACTTTTTTTTTCTGCTGTAAAACATTAAGAGAGAAAACCTGTTTTCTCAATAACTGTATGTAATTTTTCTACGTTTTCAAATGATTGAAATGTAGTTCAAAATGTTTTTGGGACAAAGTAAAGTAAGCGTGGCTGCTTTATTACGATTTATATTTCTTATTTTTGTAGAAAATTTGTGCACGGAAATACTTTAATTCAAATAAATTTATTGTTCTTAGAAACGAAGCATTAAACTCACTAACGGAAATTAAAGGATTATGAAAAACAGTATTAAAAATGCAATAACAGTTTGTGAAACGTGTGATAATACAATGAAATATATCTATGGCTTAAAATGAAAATAACTAATATCAAAAAAGTTTTTTTTAAAAAACTTCTGCAATAATTATTTTGCGTTAATGATAGGGCAATACTGGAAACGTGTTTTCGTCTGGTTGCTTTGAAGTTTAAGTTGATATCAAAATAAGATTTTTACTTTAAATGATTTTAAATTATCAAAATCAGTGGAAAATTTAATATATGAATAAAACTATTATGTACAAAATAATTTGCTCATCATAAGTATATTGTGTAAAAACATTAAGAATAGTGTTAAATGTTTTCTATTTAAAATTAAAAATTTATTTTCATCAATTTTTATATAATAAATGTATTTTATTTACAATATTTCTCAAAATAATTTTAAAATCAACATTCATTACAATAAAAAAAACATTATCTTTTAGCAAGGAAATTCTTAAGATTCTGAATTATTTATAATATCTAGTTATCAATACATATAAATCCATATTTTTAATATTTTCTTTCACTATTTTCACAGTATAATTTTTATGTATAATTTCGGAATTTAAAAAAATACAACTTTTCAATTTAATTTGTCTAGCAAACAATTTATGTAAAAAAAAATTGTATTTAAAAAATGTTGATACTATTTGTGTTTGAAAAATAGCATTTAAAATGAAGATATAATAAAATAAAATAAAATAGAAAAACTCGGATAAATGATTTTATAAATAGTATGTTTTTGGAATTGTAAAATTTCAATTTAAAACTTTTGCCGTTGTGTTATATAACAACGATTATGATTATTTGATTTGATTATTTAATTGATTATTTGATTATGATGATTATTTTACGACACATTGAGATAAAAGTTATTAAATTTGACTTGTTTATAGGATGCAAGTTGGGAAATCTGATTATAAAAAATTTTCTTTTTTATCGCTAATCTAAAGTTTATCTGTACTAAAATACTTAAAATCAACCAGTTGAAGTGTAAAGCAGTACAGAGAACAAAAAAGCAGAAACTTTAAATCTAATGGTCAAACTTTTACGTACTAGATCTTTATCTTTATGGTTTAAGCACCTAACATTAAATATGCTAAATAATTAAAGTAGACTATATTTTAAGTTACGAAAAAAAAGCGTACTTTCTCTGCACTGATAGAATTTTCATTTCAAGATTATGGTAAAATAACTTTCAGCAGTCTGTCCATCCAATTAACCGTAAAGTTAACGGTAAATAATTTTTTTTTTGTTGCTTTTATGATTTTAAAACCGTTTACAACTAGTATGGTTATAAAGCCGTGAATACGAAACTATACGGTTTTTTTTAACCATTAACAACTAGCATGGTTTCAAAACCGTAAAAAAGAAATTTAACTGGACATTAGATCTAGGCTTTTCGCCAGGTAATGGGCATTGATTGGTGAGTGCAGAAAACAAAATGAGGTGTGCTGGACACTGGAAACTCTTCATGCGTTGAGGGGAATGGAGGAAATATTGCGGCGTTAACGCGGAGACTCGAAGCCCAGTCATAAGACCGATAGATTAGTCCTTTCGGCTCTAATATATATAGAGTTGCAAGAAACTAATTGTTTTACCATATTAGGTAAAAGTAGTTAATAAACGGTTTTTCTTACAGTTAACAGTTTGATTACCATCTTATTTATAGTTAACAGTTTGATTACCATCTTATTTATAGTTATTTGACTGTTTTATTTAAATTTTATAAAATAACAATTAAATAAATTGTGATTTATCCATTTTTTCTGAGAAATTTCTAACAATATGAACAAACATACCTTTTCTACGGAAGACGATTCGAAAAATTTGAATTCTTGACATTCAAATGTGGAGGGGGATATATATGGTCCAAATAGTTTAAATTTAAAAAAATTCGTTTTCAAAATTTATGCAAATAAGCGGCGGAAAGTTTTGCGCATTTTTTCACATTTTACTTTTTGCGTATTTCACCTTAACTCTGTAACTTTTTAAGCGAATTGAAAAAATTTTACCCACTATAAAAATTGTTTAAAGATAATTTCCCCCAAAAAGTAATTTTTTGCAATTATTTACTATTTTAATTTATAATAGTTGAAGAAATTTTAAATTGTGCAGTATACAAATTTTTACATCATTTTAAAGAAAATTTTAAATGACTAAATACAAAATTTAAACGCATATTCTTATAAATTTATTACATGGTAACGATTAAAGTTAAAGTAAAATTACAAAAATCATAAGAAACAAACAAATAAATTTATAATTTTTACTAATTGATTTAATAGTCAGAGCCTGAAATCTACTTTGTAATCATAGCTTCTAATTTTTGGTTTCAAGTTTGAAATTTCTACCTTTTAGTTCATTTTCTAATTTTTCATTTCAAATTCAAGATTTTATTGAAATTCTTTTAAATTTATAAGTGCAACCGTTTCGTATCTTGCGGATAAAAAATTAAAGTTAAATAATAAATCTAAAAACTAAGAATAATAAATCCAAAAACAAAGAATAATTATCTAATGAAGATGGATTTCATGTGTTCGTGTTCTAGAATGCTCCTATTTTCAAAATTTCTGACTGAGTTTATTAAAGTTAATTTACTAAGCAATAAGGGAAATTAAAAAGAGTTTTCAACTAAGTGCAGTAATAAAAACTGAATATTATTTCCATTATAATAGAATGTTGTTTAAAGAAGATAAGGGAATAATTAAAAATTTTTATAAATATTGAAATAAACTTTATTCCGTGGATTCCGGAATGAATAATATTTATTAGTATGTTAGTCGTTTGGACATATTTTCTAAAATTTTCAAAATTTATGGGTTTGTAAATGTTATATATTGCTACAATACTTTAAAAAAAAAAAGAATTCTAATCCATAAGAATTCCAATAAATTTCAAGCAAAACAAACTGGCAAAGAAATATCTTTGAAAGCAAAGTTGATGACAAGCTTCGACTATCATATCAAGCAATGTAACGCGCAATTAATTTAGTAATAACTTTTTATTATCTAACTTTTATTTTTCATACATTCTGTACAAAAAGTTGGCAAAAGTATACTTATTTGAAGAATTCTGATAAAATGTTATATAAAACAAACTTGGTATTAAAAATTAGAAAACTACGACCACTAATTTGATAACAAAATCCAACTACTGCAACAAGTAAAGAAACTCGTCAGAATTTTGATAACTTTTATTTATTATATAATATTTATTTTAGATTCTTACAGTCTGATAAGTTAACACGAATAAATTTATTTAACAAGAATTCGATAGCTACGACCACTAAGTTGATAACAAGCTCCGACTACTGTATCAATTGTTACTCGACAGAAATTTAAAAACCTTTTTTTACTATTTAAGCTTTAGGTTCGATACTTACCGTTACGTAAGTTAATTCAAATATACTGATTAGAAAAATTCTTATAAGATCTTGAGGAAAATAAACTTGAAACGAAAAATTAGAAAGTTACGACCGCTAAGTTAAAGCCTTCTCATTTTCACCGCTAATCAATTAAAGAAACTGGTCATAAATTTAAGAGCTTTTTTCATAATTTATATTTTATATTCGATCCTTACAGCCCCATAAGTTAATATAAATATATTTATTTAAAGAATCCAACAAAACCTTGAGTAAAATTAACTTGAAAAGAAGAATTAGAGAACTCCGACCACAAAGTCTATAACAAGCTTCGACTACTGCATCAATTAAAGAAACTCGTCACAAATTTAATAACTTTTTTTTATTATTTAACTTTTATGTTCGATCGGTACAGTCCCATAAGCTAAAACGAATATATTTATTTAAAGAATTCCAATAAAATCTTGAGTAAAACTAACTTGAAGCGAAAAATGAGAAAGCTACGACCGCAAAGTCGATAACAAGCTCTGACTACTGAATCAATTAGTGAAACTCGTTAGAAATTTATGCAGAAAGGAACAAAAAAATGAATATAATAATAAAAAAAACACGTAGTAAAAAAGTAAATGCTAAACGTTCCTGTCGCTTCCTACGGGACACCTAAAAGAACTCGTTTGTCAGTTTTAAGGGTTGCGAGATACTGACGAGAGGTCGCCAAAACATCTTCGTAACAGACGGGAGAAATCGAATGCCGTAGACCTCTGTCGACGAATCGGCTGAGGAGTTTCCTAGATACGGTGCTTCACGGCATGGTTAGTAGATAGAAAAGAGAATGTTTACAGTTAAACTGTTTTTACAGGGGCATTAGAGGAAGAGAGAATTTTCGGGGGATGTTTAATGTACAGTTTTCTGTTGGTAATTCTGTGTTGTAAAGTTTGTAGCTACATTAGGAAAGTCTTACTTTAATATAAGGCTAAATGAATAAGCATATACTTTTTACTATGTTTTTCTTAAACTGTATTTTGTTTCTGTAAAAATTTCTGACTATAGTTTCACTAGTTGATTCAGTGGTCAAGGTTTGTTATAAACTCAGCAGTCTTAGCTTTTTTGAATTTTTCAATTTAATTTCTTCAAATTTTTTTGGAATTCTTACGCTAAGTACATTCACGGTAGCTCACAATACTGCTTACAATTTCGATTACACTACTTTTTTTACATTAATTAGCTTACAGTATTTCTTTTGTAAAGATATTTAAAGTTTTATTTAAAAATTATCTCTTAAAGTTATGAATTTTAAAAGTTTTTATCTAATATTATAGGTTGAATAAAGTAGAGTTAAAATATTCAGCAACAAAAAAGCAATTAAATGAATGTATTATAATTATAGCATTTTTAATTTTTAATTTTATTCGCATGATAATTTTGAATTTCATTGAATTTATAGATTCTTTTTTTAATCTTTTTAACTTATTGAATTTATGGATTCTTTTTCCTTAATTTTTTATTAATTTGATTAATTACGATTATTTTGCAGAAAATTAATCTTTAAACAATACAATTTTATAAATCGATTTTAAAATAAATGTAGTAAAACTAAATAAAGTCTTAAATAAGTATTGAAACTTTTTTACGGTATAATTAAAAAGACGAAGTGCAAGTAGAAAATTTAAAAATAAATTTTTTTGGCCAGAAATGAAGTCACTAGTTTTCTTTGTTTCATAAAAGTGGCTATTCTTCTAGGAAAATCCTTTTTTTAATCAACTGGAATTTTGTGGGAATTATTTATTTTATTTTAACAAATATTTCTTAATTGCATATTAAAAATAATTTTACCATGTTAATATTTCCTGCAATTCAAAAAAAATAATCAGAGGAAAACAAAAGTTACATTAAATAATATTTTAAAGCTATGTATAATTTACAAGTAAAAAATTTGAAAAGAAAAAGCATCAACATGTCTTATGTTACCACAAAAATAATATAAATAGGAAATAACTTTCTTATCCATTAAATTGCACAAAAATTTCACAAGAACTGTAATTATAATGATTTAAAAAATTATTTTAGTAAAATTAATTTAAGTTAAAAAAACTATAGCTCTAATAATATATTAAGAACAACTTCTTTAATTATTTAATTTTCAATACAATATAAATTTAAATGGCAATCTAACGGTTTCATAACAATTTAAGAGGATTACAATGCTTATTTGAAAATCGTCAAAATGTAGTTTCAAAATAATCTCTTTATATTTATTTTAATATTTTCTTTAGATTTACGAAAAGATATTTTTAAATAGTTTTTGCAAACTGATTGATTTTTAAAATCAATTAAATGCTTGAAACGACGATCAATTATGTATTTCAAAAGAAAGTCTATAAATAATTCAAAGTAGGGTTTTATAAAATGAAATTTAATTGATTTAAGTCTTAAGCTAATTCATCAATTCAAGTCAACATTTATTTTGCGAGAATATTAAAGAGAACTTGAAATTGGCTCCCTACAAAAAAATTAATTAAATTTCAAAAAATTACACAAAATAATTTTTAAAAAAAAGCAATTTAAAAAGCCGTCAGCAGTCGAAAAAATAATACTTACCTAACAATTATACCCAATGACCACTTGTAAGATGACCAGAGAAAAAGAGGAACTCCAAGAGCACTTTTTTTAACACCTGGGGATATTCAGAACATACTCAAATATGATACTGAAGATGCTCTTTAGTTCCTTTAAATCCCCGCCTCCTTCACTTATCTTAGACCTGACTCTAGGTTGCAATGATTATCGAGCTTATTGGCGACATTCGATCGCTCTCGCAAAAATAGTTTTGTGCCAAATGCTGTGGAATCAACGGAGAATGAAATCTTGTTCTAGACTGGTAGGTACGCTCTTGTTTCTTGTTCGAAACCTCATGACAGCCCCCCTTCCAATGCTCGTCGAGTTCGTGAGCAATCGTTTGCTCCTCCTGTCTGCTCAATGAAGCCTGAACAGTTTTTTCTTTTCTTTTTTTTTTCTTTCTTCTTTTTTGTATTACAGCTTCTTACAGTGTTATGACACCTTCTTATACAACCTGTAACAAAACGACGTGTAAGAGGAAAACGACTTTGCAATTTATGATACTTTTTTATGGTCCTTTTTTTTCTTTGTTTTTTTTTTTCAATCCCTTTTATTTTTCTTCGGACATAAGAAATGGAAATGTGGAAGTTCTTTTTTGATTTCGCTTTTTTGTTGGTGCTTTTTTTTAGTTTTTGTATCGATTAATTTATAACTTATATCCTACTATATGAATTATTTTAATATTTTATTTGTATAAATAGCAGCACAGTTCAGTTACCTTTAGTACTTCAATATTGTCTTAAATTCTAGAACCTAGTAACAGACGAAATTTTTTTAACAAACAGTTGCATTTGTTTATTTATTTATTTTTAATATGTAAGTATAAAATAAATAAAAGAAATGTGTTTATATCTACTTTAGATTAGTTTGTGAAGGATAAGGGATTTTATAAATTTAGCAAATTCATGCAGACAATACTTATTACTTTTTTCAAAATTACATGTTGTATAAAATTTGATAAATTAGCACAAATTTATTTAATAAATTAGCACAGAATTTAAAGTTTCATGATATATTGAAAAAAATATTAAAAGCTTCTTGAAGTTATGTAATAAATTACTTTCGATTTTTTTTAAAAGATTCATAGTTACAGAGGTTGTTGAGCCGTAGTTGCTTTGTGGTTTAGATACTAAATTATTATTGTGAAGAACTTGGGTTCGATTCCCAGTGGCGGCTTGGGCTCTTTCAGCTTCAGAGCAATAGATACCAGCTTGCTTGGTAAGCAAACGCAGCGTGTGCACACTGTTTACTATATTGCCAGAATCATGGCAATGGTGACGAAATTGTAGAGCCTCAAGCTCTATCACACCCTGGCTCACAACGAGCTGTTGTGGGGATGATTTTTTTTTTTTTTTTTTTTTTTTTTTTTTTTTTTTTTTTTTTTTTTTNTTTGAAGATAGATGAAATGAATAGGGGAAATACTGATATCCTTTTAAGTTAATGTTTAAGTCCCGGGGGTAAGAATAGGTGATGAAGTAGGGGGAGGGTAGGTGACAACTAAAAAATTGACGAAAATAACCAATTTCAATGTTTTATTTATGATTTTCGAGTTAAATATTTTTTTTTATTTCGAAGTTAATTTCATTGATTCACGATAAATCAGTATTTCCCCTATTATAATTATATCCTTTGAAACTTTTGCATGAGGAGAAAAAAAGTTTGGTCGAAACTACCAGAATATGGTAAAATTTATCGTTCTTCTGGTGCTAAAAGAGCACTAAAAAGCACGCTTGGTTTTACTAATTCGCTTTGGTTATTACTTTGATAAAATTAATAATAAAATATAGTTTTAAAATATTCGATAAAATTCGGTATATGTGGTAAAATTTGGTAATTTTATCATGATACTTTAGAGCCTGGCATGAAAATCATTTTTAGGTTAAATTTACTTTTCAGTTCTGCATTCAATACTAAATGTGTGGTAATGAGAACTATAATTTTGATAACCAGAATTTCCAGTGTGCCTTTATCATATGAACGGTAAAATTACCAAATGAATGGCTAAAATACCATTCATTATGGTAATTCTGTTTATATTTTGGTTTCAATAACCAGAATTGTGGGTGTTTTTTTACCAGGAATGCCATTACCATTAGGAAGTTTTATTAGTAGAAATGCCATAGAGAGATTCTATAGTATCAGAATTGTAAGATAATGATAAATTTAATTATTTTTTATTCATGTGTATTCTCTTGCACTAAAAAATTTAATTAGCAGGTATGTCCTAAAACTTAAAATAAAACTTGATTTTGAAAAATTAAAGGATGTCATTTCATGTCAAAGAATTATTTTTTTCAAAAAAGACTAGGTTTTGCATATCTTTACAAAATGAACTAATATGTGAATTTGCTCATTGTATTAATGCAATGAATTGCATTATTTAAATATTATCACAGATTGTGCAATAAATTTACATTATCTGTGGTATGTATATCTTGAATGGTCAAATTGAAAATAAATTTAATTTTTATTTAAGAGTCACAAGCATAAATCAATAATCAAACAATGAGAAAAAAATAATTCTACTGACTATGTTGCAAATATTAACTATAATGCAAATATTTTCGTGGTAAAAAAAATTAAGATGTCGAAATTTAACATTTCTGAATAAATTGTCTACGATACAAATATTCTCAATGAAAATGTAAGAATTCATGCTTTATAATATAGATAATTTATAATAATTGTCACAATTTAAATGAATTTTGTTACAAAATTTTAAAATACATTTTTATTTCTATGTTTAGACAATTATAATTAAAATTATTGAAGAATTCAAATCATAAGTTTTTATTTATTAATATATTCTTAGACTATTTTAATTATATATCATCAAACTATTCAATGATAAACTATTAATATCGTTAAATTATTTTATAACACGGATCATATATAAAAATCATCTTTAGTTTACCAAAAATTGCCTCGCAAAAAATACTTAACAATGTTTATAGTCATTAATTTTTACGTACAAAAAATCGAATTGATGAAAATCTCCATAACTATGAAGAAATAATGATTGTGATTTCTTATTATATTGAGATACAATGAATTAAAAGACGTAAAATTAGATCTTTCATCACACAGAATAATTCTAAAACTTGATTTTTCTTCTGATAGGTTTCATAATTATTAATTTAAAAGAAACTTTCATTTTTATATGAAGAGGCATATCACGATTTGTCATATTACTATTAGATAATCAATTAAGCAATTTTTATGAGATTGTTTTGAGATTTAAAAAAAGAATGATTTTTATTATTTATCATAAAAAATAACTCTTGTTTTTTCTTTTCGTACTTAAAAGAAAAATTACAACACTTTAATTGATGAATCTTATGATTAAATCACATTGAATAGGAAAATGAACAAGGAAGATTAAAATATCTTTGGCTGTCATCATCATAAGATTAATAAATGTTATGATAGCATTTTCTTGTAAATTTTTTATTTATCACTAATTGAAATTCATTTACCAATAATCCTTATTTGTCATCCCTTCTTAATATTATTCACAGTTGCTAAAATGTTTTTTTTAAATTTTAATTCAAAATTATAAGCACAAAAATAAACATCTTGTTCTTTTATTATATTATGAAGTAGTCGCGTGATATTACCTTATTATGTCACATTTTTAGGATTAAGAAATTAAGTCACTATTTCACAATTAATAAACGGTAAGTAAATTATATTTACGTTTTAATAAGTTATATTTACTTTGATAATAAAGTATGGGTCAAATTGTGTTGAATCGACGAATGTAATTTAAATAATATAAACAAAATAACTTTTGAAACTCTGAAGTAGCATTAATCTGAAGAAAATAGTATTTAGAAAAAAATATTTAGAGAGTTTTAAAGTAAGAGACTAAATAAGAACCCAGAACCTTTCTGATGCAAGGTCAGTTCCCTGACCCCTATACAGTCCGGTCGGCTATATTTGTAATGTCAAATATTAGATTTGGTGAACAAAAGCATATAATAGAATGAGAATGGAAACATGGAAAAAAAATTCTGAAAAGTGGAATTTTGTTAAATACATTCTAATAGATGTTGTAATTACTTAACTCGAATCTCAGTAACTGATTACTCATACTGACAATTTTAAGAGTGGTTATTTTCCAAGTATGTTATAAGAATTTTCCAGGTTTTTGTCAGAAATAGCAACTTTCCTTTACTATTCCCTATTTTTTTTTTAAGTTAAAAAAATATTCCCTGAGAATTCCAAGTTTTCCCTGACCTGTAGGAGCCTGTTTTTAAGTAATTTTTCATGGTTTTGAACATCGTATAAACAAAACTGAGATTGAGTTTTTTTTCGAATTGATGCTCTGATTATTATGTTTCTTAAATATTAATTTAATTTAAATTAAGTAGGTAGGTAAGGTAAATTAAGTTACCAAACATCTTTGTATGGGTGGGTAACTATAGTTTTAAACGTTTTAACACTTAAATATTATTCTTATAAGTAAAACTTTTAAAATAAAAACAATTTAAGATTTTTTCTTACGGAGACAATAGAGCTGCAGTAACTCAGAAAAAACGCAGCGTTCGAATGAAATAACCAAGGTTCGAATCCCAGCATCAACTGGCAGTAAAAATTCTGCTCTCGGTTCCCACCGACTACAATGTTATTTTATATAAATTTTTAAAATAACAGAGTTTTTTTCTTTTTTAATAATTGAGTTTGAGTCGTGATGACTCAGTGGATAAAGCACTCGTCTCCCAATGAATTGACCCTGGATCGATCCTTAGTGATAGCTAGTCGATACGAATTCCAGAACCCAGTCACACAAACCCCAGTACTGATAACGTAAAAAATATCCTTAGTAGTAAAGGGATCATGGATTAGAATCCACTTGCCGTCAGACTATCTGCAGGACATTTTCGTGGTTTTCCTATCCATGTAAAGCAAAGGGGAGGTCAGTTCCGTCAAAAAGTCCAGCACGAAGGCGAATTTCTCCCAATACTTGATCCAGGAGTTCCCTTGTCTTTTGGATTTGGTTCAAAATTACAAGGCTACGGAGTTGACCATGTGTAGCCATCAAAATTGGGTTGGCAGTTCAAAGATGGTTATAAAATAATGGAGTTCGTTTGTAGGATAAAAGTACTTATCTGCTAAAAAAAAGAAGGAAAAAAAAACGGTCTCATGTTTTTAAATGACAATATTTTTCTGTGAAATAAACGATTTTATGCTGGCACACCAGCTGACAGACTTTTTTCGTAAATGTAGCAGATTTCTTTTACAATGCAATGGTGACAAAAAAAAAAGGTTCAGGCTTAAAATTAGTACTTTTTCTTGTCCTTCATTAATTTGATAGTTATTACTTCATAAAAATAACCATTACTTATTTCGAAATATTATTATTTTTTTGTCCTCAAAGATTTTTCTTTTCTTTTTATGTA